TTGACTTGCATTTCCCTGATGACTAATGATATTGAGCATGTTTTCAAGTGCTTTTTGGCCATCTGTATATCTTCTCTGGAGAAATTTCTATTCAAATTCTTTCTATATTTTATAGCGGATTGTTTGTCTTTTTTCTTATTGAGTTGTAAGAATTCTTCATCTATTCTAGATGCAAGTCTCTTACTAGATATATGATTCAAAAATATTTTTTCCCATTCTGTAGGTTGGGTTGGGGAGGTTCCAGTCTGGCTGGGGAAAGAAGACAAATGTGGGGAGTGAGGAGATGGGAACAAGATGTTGAAGGGAGAGGCACTGTAGGGTAGATCTAGGGTGAATTCTCTGAGCTTCAAGTTGCCCACCTAGGTAGAGACTGGATTGGATGGACTGCTCTGACATTGCCCTGGGTCTGCAGGCAAGAATATGTGTCACTGTACACTCAGTGCTGTGCCATCAGGCATATATACTTATGTTCAGTGTCAGGGACTTGGCATCTTGTAAGACCAGGAGCATGAGTAGGGTAGAGGGAGAAGAAGTCTCTTTTTTAAAAAAGAAGACTCCATTTTGCAAACTTTCACAGGACTAATGGGTGACCTTGGAGGCAGCATGATGTGGTTTAAGAGCCAGTCAGGCTGGGATTCAGATCTTGGTTATAGCTGACATGACCATTAGTGCTCCTTTAGCCATTCCTGATGGCTTCCTATATCCTTATTTTAATATTCTTACTGTATATATATATTTAAATGTAAATATAATTTACATACATATATAGTTTAAATATGTATATAGTTTAAATGTAAATATAAATTTTTAGCAACACTGCATGGCATGTGAAATCTTAGTTCCCCAACCAGGGATCAAACACACCCTATGCAATAGAAGCATGGAGTCTCAACCACTGGATCACCAGGGAAGTCCTTGTAAATTCTTTTATTCTTACAGTATGTGAACTCCTGGGGTTTTCTGCCTAAGGGTTTTCTCTGCTCAGAAGGCACACAGGACACAGGAAAGTCTGAAAATTCAGGAGCAGCCCTCAACCCCAGTTTCCTAATTCTTTGGTAGGACAACAATACAATACAATGGTATTCTTCACTGTGTCTTGGAGGTCCCCAGTAGAATCAAGACCCCCATTGCCCACTGCTCATTATAGCACCCTGAATTGAGTTCATTTCATTTCTTTGTTCCTCCTTCATCCACTCCTCTACTAGTGCTTCCTGAGATCATCTCTCAAGTCGACCGGTGTCTGCTTCTGGGGAAATCCAACCTAAAGATACTGGTTCTTCCACTTCTTAGATACATCCATTCTATTTTATTGGGCAGATCATCTTACCTCTCTGAAGCTCACTTTCCTTATCTACAAAATGAGGATAAAAGCATTTACTTCATAGGATAGTCATGAGGTTTAGCATCTCACTCAGGTATATTTAGAGTTCAGTAAATGCTAGTCCTCTTTTCTTCCCAGTTGTTTATTGTCCTGTAAACAGATTTTCTCCCAGAGATTGTTGGGTGTACCTGCCTCATTAAGCCATAGCTGAGCAGGAAGGATAAGCAGTCTGGAGCTCGTCCCATGGGTGACTGGATTACTATTCCCAGTCACTTGCTGCCTCTCTGCTGTTGGATTAAACATCCCCACTGTTTGTCACGTCTTGCATCCTCCAGAGCAGTGGTCCCTAACCTTTTTGGCACCAGGGACTGGTTTTGTTGGAGACAATTTTTCCATGAACTGGGATGGGGGATGGTTTGGGGATGACTGAAGCATATTACAATTAGTGTGCACTTTATTTCTATCTTTGTTACATTGTGAAGTAATTATACAGCTCACCATTATGCAGAATCTGTGGGAGCCCTGAGCTTATTTTCCTGAGCTCAGGTGGTAATTCGAGTAATGGGGAGTGACTGTAAATGCAGATGAAGCTTTGCTGGCTCACCCAATGCTCACCTCCTGTTGTGTGGCCTGGGGATTGAGGACCCCTGCTCTAGAGGGAGCAAGTCTCCCTGTTACCCATGTTTTAGCCATAGGACATGCTTTGGTGAGTGGCATGTGAGCTGATGTGACATTTACCACATCTGAGAATAAGCTTTAACTGTTACTGCATGGTTTGGCTCTGGCTCTTTTTTTAACTCCTGCCCTCTACCATGAGAAAGAGATGTCCCCAGGGTCTGGCACTCATTAGACTCTTACTGTGTACCAGGCATTGTCTCAATTGTTACATATGTCTACACATGTTATTAATACTTCATTTCATTCTCACAGGAACTCTAAGACATAGGTACTATTATTATCATCCTTATTTTACATATTTGGAAAATTAAGATTCAGTAAGGGTGACTGCCTTGCACATGTACACAATTGGTAAGGGGGAGGCATTCTGCCTTCTAGGCCCATATTCTTAACCACTGCACTGTGCTGTTTCTCATAGCTGATCAGCAAACACTTGTCAAGTAAAGTTTGTTTCAATTCAATTCAGTCACTCAGTCAGGTCCGACTCTGCGACACCATGGACTGCGGCACACCAGGCCTCCCTGTCCATCACCAACTCCCAGAGCTTACTCAAACTCATGTCCATTGAGTCGGTGATGCCATGCAACCATCTCACCCTCTGTCGTCCCCTCCTCCTCCTGCCTTCAATCTTTCACAGCATCAGGGTCTTTTCCAATGAGTCAGTTCTTCGCATCAAGTGGCCAAAGTATTAGAGTTTCAGCTTCAATGTCAGTCCTTCTAATGAATATTCAGGACTGATTTTCTTTAGGATAGACTGGTTGGATCTCCTTGCAGTCCAAGGGACTCTCAAGAGTCTTCTCCAACACCACAGTTCAAAAGCATCAATTCTTTGGTGCTCAGCTTTCTTTATAGTCCAACTCTCACATCCANATTTTTTCTGAAACTCTCTTGTTTTTTTGATGATCCAACAGATGTTGGCAATTTGATCTCTGGTTCCTCTGCCTTTTCTAAATCTAGCTTGAACATCTGGACTTTCATGGTTCATGTACTGTTGAGCCTGGCTTGGAGAATTTTGAGCATTACTTTACTAGGGTGTGAGATGAGTGCAATTGTGCAGTAGTTTGAGCATTCTTTGGCATTGCCTTTCTTTGAGATTAGAATGAAAACTGACCTTTTCCAGTCCTGTGGCCACTGCTGAGTTTTCCAGATTTTCTGGCATATTTAGTGCAGCACTTTCACAGCATCATCTTTTAGGATTTGAAATAGCTCAACTGGAATTCCATCACCTCCACTAGCTTTGTTCGTAGTGATGCTTCCTAAGTTTGTTTAAATGACTGTAATTCCTGAAACACCGTTTCCTTCTATTTACCCAGATTCTGAAGGTACAATCTACTGGGACAAAGACGGGCTTCTGATTTTGGACCTGGGCACCTTTCCTGCCTCAGTTGTTAGCCAAATAGGAGGTCCTTCTAACTCTTTTGATTGGGGAAAGGTCATCTATGGCTATCATATAGGAACCCAAATAATTCTCCTGTAGGATCCACATGGATCACGAGATATCTCCTGTAAATTCCACATGGATCCCAAACATCTCCACTGTAATTTCGGCTCAACCTCTCCTGGACCCCTCTCCTCGAGGTTCATGTGAGCCCATATATATTTCCTAAGGCCCACATGGACTCCCAACATCTCTTCTGTAGGAGCCATGCTTGATAACCTTCTCAGGGTTACATTCATCATTTCATTGAGTCCTCTCATAACTCTGTAAATCAGTTAAAACTTGTCTTATGGCAAGATAGAGGACAGTGATTATGAGAGTGAACCAGGGACAGGATCAAAAGCAGAATCTCTTGTCTTGCTCTGTAGCCCATGACTCCTCTCCCCTGCAGAGACTATGCTTCCTGCTCAATACTCCATAGCCTCTGAGGCTCCATCCCTTTTCTTGCCTCTCCTGCACTAACTCCTGCCTGCCTTTATTCACTCCCACCCCTTTTCTGACCCAGCTGTGGAAGTGAGGCCCCACTCCCAGCAGGCTCAGACCATACAATGGGCCCTTATTCTGGGCAAAGAATCCCCACAGTGTCTCCCACCCACTGAGGCCCCCTTCTAGGCCCAGGATGGTGTGGGTGGAGGGCACCATGAAGGGCAGGAGCTATTTGTTGGCTGGCAGGATAGAGGGTGGTCCTGATTGTAGATATCCCACAGGAGGTTTGCATATGAAAACATCACTCACAATGAAAGCCTGTCTGTCTTTCACTCCCAGCCTCATCTTTCCAAGTGGGTCTCTGGCAACTCTCATTGATTCTGGGTTTTAAAACATTTACCCTAGTCTCTACTCTCTTTCAGTGTTCATCTCTGCATATCAGCCTCTTTCTTTTTTTAAAATATGTATTTTAAATATTTATTTATTTGGCTGTACCAGGTCCTAGTCTCAGCATGAGGGATCTAGTTACCTAACCAGGGATCAAGCCCGGGCCCCCTGCATTGGGAGAACAGAGTCTTAACCACTGGACCACCAGGGAAACCCTTAGTCTCTTTCTTATTTTCTCTCTCTCTCCCTTTCTCTTTCTTTCTTTTTCTGTTTTCCTTTCTAAGCCTCTCCCTTTTTAATCTTCTATGTAGCTTGTCTGTCCCTATTTCTTATTTCTTTCTCACTTCATCATGCTCTCTTCTTTGTCTTTCCTTGTCTTTTTTCCTCTCCAAAACAATCTCTCCATGACTCTGTTCTTTGTGTTTCTATGCCTCTCTTCATGGCTCTTCTCTCTTGTCTTTCTATGTCTGGTTTTTTTGGATTTGTGTTTTCTTGTCTATGTCTGATTTCTGACGCTTTATGTTTCATCTCTAATCTTCCATCCTCTATACACAGTTTGGCCTTGTGGATCTGAAGGACTTTCGTCAGTCTCCTGCTTATGAAGTTCCCTCTCACTCTTCCTTTCTGGTACACCCAGAGGATCCTGGAACTGGCATGGGAAGTTATTCTCCCAGTTTACAGATTTGGAGGCTGAGGTTCTGATTGTTGGTACCAGACTCACATTTCTGGGTCTCTTCCTCGACATTTTAGACTTGCTCTTGTCCTCGTAGTGCCTGCCCACCACCTGATCCGGCCCAGAGTCTGGAACTTAGCACCTCGGACAGCTCCTGCAAGGTGCAGGGGCGGCCAGGCCTTCCTTCTCGCGAGTGCAGGAGCCGCGGCCCAGTGGAAGCTCGGGAATCTCGCGAGAGCAGCTGCTGCAGGCAGAGGTGGCGCGGGCGCGCGAGGAACTGGCCCAAGGCGCGCGCGTGCGCGAGCGCGCGCGTACCCCGCCTCCAGACCCGGAGCGGCTCGCGGCCGGCTCCGAGCCGCATCGCTAGGTGCAGGGCAGCGCTGTGGCCTTTCCGCAGCCGAACGACAGCGGCGGGTGAGTCGCGGGCCCTAGGGCCCAGAGAAGGGCTTTGCAGGGAGGTTGGGCGCAGGTGGAGAGTGGGTCACCCCATCTCCAGTTTTGTACCTGCTACGCTTCACCTTTGGATGCAGGGGGCAGGTCGAGCTGGAGAGGTGGAGAGTCGAGGTGACCTTCCCTGTTAGGGCGGGGGAAGAACGTTTCGGGTGCCCCAGGCCTCCCCTAGCCCTCACCATCCCCATTCCCGGCTCCCGCAGAGGAAACCCGGGTCTTGGATGACGTCAGACTCCTGGATTCTGGAACCTGGGCCTTGGGCCCACCTGGCGTTCCCAGCAAACAGTCCTCCTCCTGGGGCCCTCCTCCTGGCGCACGCGGGCCGGGAGGGGNGATGACGTCAGACCCCTGGATTCTGGAACCTGGGCCTTGGGCCCACCTGGCGTTCCCAGCAAACAGTCCTCCTCCTGGGGCCCTCCTCCTGGCGCACGCGGGCCGGGAGGGGTGCTCCTGGAGGCGGGGTGACTGTGGCCTCTTTGGGGGTCCTTCCTGACAAGAGGCGCCTGCCGGAGGAGTAGTTGTGTTCCCCAGCCCCCACCTAACCTAGGCGGCGGGCCTTTGGGCCGCTGGTCTGAGCCGCCTCCGGTTTTTGGGGATGGGGGCATTGGTTTGAGCCTGGGGTCCAACGGGGCTTCGGGGTGGTATGTGGAGGGCCGAGATGAACCTCGCTGTAACGCTGACAGGAGTCGGTCACGAGGATGGGGGGAGATACTTGGGAACCCGTCTCGGTCCCTGCCTCTGGGAGCCCCCAATCTAGAGGATGGGGGAAGCAAGTAGTCTTGGACAGAGAATTTGCCATCTCAGGCGGTTCAAACGAGTAATGCCCCAGATCCAGGATAAGGAGTTTAGGGAGGGCCAGGTAGACTTTTCTGTGGACCCCAGGAGCACAAGGAGAAAGGGAGAGGAGCCAGTGAACAAGAGCCTCCTCTTGGAGGAGGTGAGATTTGGATGAGAAGAGGGGTAAAGGAGGGCACTTCAGGAAATGGTTTGGACTAAGGCCTAGAGAGGGGAACCACGCATAGCTATTGGGGAGCCTAGCCTGTGAGCCCAGCCATGTGACTGACCCCCATGGGATGGGGAAGTCTGGAAAATTTTGTAGCTTATGTCCCACCTGTTCTGTCTCCAAGGGGCAGGCCTCTGAAAGAGGGGAATGGTTCTTGCAGAGGGATTTTGTTTGGGGCTGCCCAGATCTTCCTAGTTGAGATTTGATCTGGGTTTGGTGAGCCTCAGTTGCTGATAGAGGACTGACTGCTCAGTGGGCCACAGAAAGAGGGTCTTCTTAGGTCTAGCAAACCCTAGAGTTAGTAGGATCCTGGGAGAGGAGCTCTGGATAGTGACCTTGGGCTCTGTTCCTTTTTAAACTTTTTCTCTGGCTGGCTGGCCACCTTTGAACAAATTGATTCCCCTCTCTGGGCATCTCTTTGCCAGCACGTTTCTCTTGGGATGAAATAATAAGACTAAGTACTGACCTCCCTTGAGGAGGCTGCTTGTTCTAGTTTAGAGCTTCCCTCTCAGTTTTTCTCCCTCTTCCTTTTCTTCCCTCTCCCTCTGCCTTCCTCTTCCTCTTCCTGTCCCTGCCCCCACCCGCACCCCCAGCTGTTCCTCTGCAGGCTGCACTTCCTTCTTGCTGACAGCCTGGAGTTTCTGAAGGTTTCCTGAAGGAAGTGAGGTACAGCAGGGTTCTTGAAACTGTGGACTTAGCCTGATTGTGGGGAGGGCATCCGTTGCTCCACTCCCACCCTTGGGCTTGGGAGTGCTACAGGAGGCTGAAGTCACAAGAATGGAAGGTTCCAAGCTCCTTTGCTCTGTGTCCACATCTTAAGCAAGAACGTGATTGACTTGTTCTCTGTGCTCTGTTCCGTGCTGAGTCCCTCCTGGAAGCCCCATCCATGATGGAACCAGGAAGAGATTGGATGAGAATGAGCATTCGTTGCCCAATAACTGGTTCAGAATATAAGTAGTGGGAGGCACAGCAGGGATGTCTAGATGGGCTTCCAGAAGAGGTGGGATATGAGAAAAATAGTAGGACTGAGAGGAATTAGCATGGCTCTGGTTTAGGCTCACTGGAAGCAGACGGGATGGCTCAATATGATCGGCATGAAGCTCGGAAGTGGGTCAGTGTGTGGACGAGAAGCAGAAGGTGGTGGGTGGGAGTTTTGTAGCTGATTGGCACAAGGCCTTGACTGCCAGGCACAAGATCAGTAGGGGCTACTGGAGAGTCATCACAGGACAGTGATAGCTGTGCTGGAAGAGTAGTGTTTTCTGTGAAAGATTCAAACCCTGATGATGGGAAAGATTAAGGGCAGGAGGAGAAGGGGGCAACAGAGGATGAGATGGTTGGATGGCATCACTGACCCAGTAGAGATGAGTTTGAGCAAACTCCAGGAGATAGTGAAGGGCAGGGAAGCCTGGAGTGCTGTAGTCCATGTGGTCGCAAAGAGTCAGACACAACTTAGCAACTCAATAACTGGAGAGTCATCACAGGACTGTGAGCAATGCCAGGAGAGTAGTGTTTTCTGAGAAAGAGTCATAGTTCTGGGACATCAGGGCTGGGGATATGGGAAATGGGTGTGGGGTAAGGAGACCAAAGGTAGAGCTGGAGGGGGATACTTCCATCTTCGCAGATAAGCTCTGGGTGGGCAGGAAGAAAATGACTATTTCTATGCCAAGCATGGGGCTCATGCTGGTGAGTAGGGAGCCCTGGAACAAACCACAGGTCTCTGTCCTGATCTGAGGCCAGACTTGACTCCCTTCTTTTTGCCATGGACCTCACTCTTTACTGTGAGACCTGTCCCCTCAACTTCACAGAAATGAAATAAATTGTAGTCTGTCTTTTGAACAAAATTTCAGTTAGTGTTTGCTATCTTACTGATAATTGAGGAAGTGCTCCCTTAGGCCTGCATCTTTAGGGGATATGTAGCACTCCCAGTGCCTCCCAACATTATGAAAGACTCTCAGTTGAGGAATGAATTGCTACTTCTCTCATTTTGCAGTTTAGGAGCTTTGGTTCGTGGAGGCTGGTCATTGCTGCTCCCCTCTCCCCCTGCCCAAGTATAAAGGCTAATCCCTGACAGAAGAGCAGAGGATCCTGGAACCTTCCATTCTTGTGACCTCAGCCTTCTGTAGCCCTCCCAAACCTAAGTTCTTTCTGGGCTAACAATGTACAAACAAGGCAGCCTTGCGCTGTGCTCTGGCCCTGAGCGCTGGCTTTCCCACCTTCAGTACTTTGCTACACTGACTTCTCTGTAACACCTTTGGGAGACAGCCTGGGACCAGAGGGGGGTCAGGTTGGAGCCAGGGTTGCAGCCTCCTTCCTTGAGGCTCCTACAGTCTAGCTGTTGCCTTCTGTCCCTCTGACTCTCTTCTTTGTTTTCCTGGAGAACATTGGTGTTGGACCACAGTCTCCCATTCCACATCCCGTTGTCTCACGCGAGGTGATGCCTCCTTCAGCCACTCCTTCTGCCGGCTACACCTGAGTCTGGTCATCATTGGCATGTGGCCACCTCTGAAACCTTAAACCCCAGTATTGTTCTCTGACCACAGTCCAATTTCTGCTTTACCTACCTTGGGACCTCAAGGAGACCTCAAGTTCTCTGACACTTCCATTTTCTCTATCTTGTGAACATGGCACCTACCGTGTCCTTCCTGGACTCCACGGTCCTGGATTTTAACTGGCTCTTGCCCTCAGTGACCATGCCATGGCCCGTGTGTCCCACCCCAGAGCAGACCACTTCTCCCCCCATCCCCCCAGTTCTGGATTCTACACTAAGAATGTGGAAAGCTTCTGGTGGCCGTCACATACTGGGATAGTCTCATTCTGCTTCTATGGAGGGTCTCCAGCCTCAGCTGTCCCTTCATCACTTCTCAGGACTGTCATCACTTTCCTCTTCCCATCAGCTGTCCATCCTCTTCCATGGGAAGAGTAGGTCAAACTTGGACCATTATCCCAAAGCCCCTGAACTCATGTAAAGGGTTAGTTGAGTGGTGTATGTGGAAGTTGGAACCATACCTGTGTTTCTCTACTTTTTGAATCTTAGGGCTCCTAGTCTAATACACCCACTCTGCTATGGATGCCAGCCCTTCCTGTCTCCTGAGATATCAGTGTCTGTCAGCAGTTTCCCCCTCTACTGTGAGGCTGGTCATTGCTGCTCCCCTCTCCCCCTGCCCAAGTATAAAGGCTAATCCCTGACAGAAGAGCAGAGGATCCTGGAACCTTCCATTCTTGTGACCTCAGCCTTCTGTAGCCCTCCCAAACCTAAGTTCTTTCTGGGCTAACAATGTACAAACAAGGCAGCCTTGCGCTGTGCTCTGGCCCTGAGCGCTGGCTTTCCCACCTTCAGTACTTTGCTACACTGACTTCTCTGTAACACCTTTGGGAGACAGCCTGGGACCAGAGGGGGGTCAGGTTGGAGCCAGGGTTGCAGCCTCCTTCCTTGAGGCTCCTACAGTCTAGCTGTTGCCTTCTGTCCCTCTGACTCTCTTCTTTGTTTTCCTGGAGAACATTGGTGTTGGACCACAGTCTCCCATTCCACATCCCGTTGTCTCACGCGAGGTGATGCCTCCTTCAGCCACTCCTTCTGCCGGCTACACCTGAGTCTGGTCATCATTGGCATGTGGCCACCTCTGAAACCTTAAACCCCAGTATTGTTCTCTGACCACAGTCCAATTTCTGCTTTACCTACCTTGGGACCTCAAGGAGACCTCAAGTCCTCTGACACTTCCATTTTCTCTATCTTGTGAACATGGCACCTACCGTGTCCTTCCTGGACTCCACGGTCATGGATTTTAACTGGCTCTTGCCCTCAGTGACCATGCCATGGCCCGTGTGTCCCACCCCAGAGCAGACCACTTCTCCCCCCATCCCCCCAGTTCTGGATTCTACACTAAGAATGTGGAAAGCTTCTGGTGGCCGTCACATACTGGGATAGTCTCATTCTGCTTCTATGGAGGGTCTCCAGCCTCAG